GAATTTATATTTTGAACAAAGTGGTTTATCATATACATTTTCACATGTTTTATTTAATGGAAATCCATTAACATGAGATGAATTATTACCAAATGTATTTGAAGATGTTTTAACAACACGAATGTTAAGAATACAATTTCAAAATTCAACAACAAGTTTATTATGGACAATTAAGAGATTCAAATGATATTATTGAAATATTAAATACAAAACCAAATGTTGTTAAACGTTTAAATCAACGTATATTTGGACAAACACCATCAATGCCAACAATTTATGTTGATTTATCAATGATAAATGGTCAAACAAAAGATTTATTAGATTCAAAAAAATTTCAAACATTATCTGTACGTGAACAAGCTGATGTTATTATGGCTAGTATGATTTATTTAGGAAAAAAAGATGAATTAGGTCAACCACTTTATCTTATTACATTATGGATAGCTTGTGATCTTGATCGACCTGATGAACGACAATTATTTCTTAATGCTTTAACTTATTTAAAAAGTCATACACATGCAAGATGAGGTTTATTAGTAAGTTTATTTAGAACAAAAAAAAATACATAGATATATTATTTATAAAATTCTTATCTTTTATTTAGGCTTCTTTTCAATATAGAATCTCGTCTAGGTACTCATCCAATAACAAAAGCTGTTTATACAACTATTCGTTTACTTTCATATCCAATAGCTCATACATTTATATTTAAATTATTTAAAGATGAAAGTATTATTGAAGATTTAATATTTAAAAGAAAATCTTGGTCTGATGTAACTGTTAGTGATCTAACGTGAGTAGTCAAACAGTTGAACATGAAATAGCAACATTTGATGATAATATATTTCAATCACATTCAATATTTATTGAACAAACTCTTCATTTACCACGTGGTTCACGATCATTTTTAGTTAATGGACGTATATTAGGAGCATTAAATGAAAATGAACAATATACTGCAAATGATTTTATTCTTCTTGATAAACATTTATCAACAACAATGAATGATCGTCTTATATGTATTGTTAGTAAATTAGAATTATCTAATGATCCATCACAATTATCCGATCTTCTTATGCGTATATCATCAATAATAAGTCAAAATAATAAAAGTTCTTCACCAATAACACGTAAACAAATACCACATATATCATCAACATCAAAAGCTGTTCTTAATTTACCAGCAAAACAAATCAATGAACCAGCATTTTTAATTGAAGCTATTCTTGATCCAGCATGACGTGATAGACAACGTTTATTATCATTAATATCATCTTTACGTCAATCAATAAATTTTGATCTTATGATATATTTTAATTGTAAATTACAATTATCTGAAATGCCATTAAAAAGTTTTTATCGTTATGTTTATGATACAAATTTACAAGAAATGCCTAGTGCTATATTTCGTCATGTACCTGAAACACCTATATTAACATTAGATATGGTTACACCAGAATCATGGATGGTTGAAGCTGTTACATCACCTTATCATTTGGATAATATATATTTAGAAGATGTACCTGTTGGTGTTTTAACAAATTTTGAATTACAATATTTATTAATTAAAGGACAATGTTTTGATGAAACACAAAGTTATTCTCGAGATTTACAATTAATTTTGGGTACAAATAAAACAAAGAATATATTTGTTACAATTGTTATGTCTAATCTTGGCTATTTTCAATTAAAAGCATATCCAGATGTATGGCATTTAAATTTACGTGAAGAACGTTCTGATGAAATATATCGAATGGCTAAAATTCAAACTCGATAGCTACCAATAGTGAAGAGTTATTCAAAAAATGGTCGTTAGTACTATAAAAAAAAATCCGATATTAGTACCAATTCAATATTTGTTTCAATGAAAAGTTGTTTAAAAAGTGTTCTTTTAATAAATTTTCAATAAAAATATTGTTTTAATGTTGAAATGTTCATAAAATATGAAAATAGATTCTGATCAATATGACGAAATCATCATCTACTTACTTTGATAATAGCATAGAAAAAAAATTATTTTTTGCGGATATAATCAGATTTGAAAGCTCTACAAATCCTACAAATATCATTGGAATGTACTATAGTTATTTGTAAAAATAATAGATTATTTTCTTGAAGAATCTTATAGAACATAGGTGAGCACACTCATTAAAAAAATTGGTCCGATATTATCCCTCTATTAAAAATGCTAGGAATTCTGAATAAGCAGAGTTGTAGGTCAAGTGATGCTCTATTGAATACGCGGTGCCGCTATATCAAGCAATTCGGCTTTTTGAAAAAATTGGATTCAAGATGAAGAGGTGTCGTGGCGCAGTAAATGGCTAAGAATGGTTCAACTTTTTCCAGTAATGAAGTCAAATTTGGTGCTGTTCGATACGACTTTCCATGAAGAACATGAATATCACCTTGGATTTAACTTTTGATCTCATTTTTTTGGATAAATTTGTCAAAAACTAGTAGTCAACATTTTCAAAAATGTCATTTTTCACATTTTACTGCCAAAAGTATTTTGAGTCTATCTCTATGAAAATAAAAGCTTTTCAAGAAATTTTTTTTATCAAAGTGCTTACAATTAAGAGCTCTATAAACGCTGAAAGTTTCATCAAAATCGGAGAAAACTTTTGTAAGCGTGGTCGAATTCCGGTGGAAATACCCTGCTACATAATGTTTTTCTGAATATAAAAAGAAAGCAAAATTTTTGTATCTTGATCCAATCTGATAGATTTGTAGAGTAATATAGAGAGATCATTCGGATAAATAAAAATTCGATTATATTCACCTATAATTTAAAAAATTTATTGATAAAGTTAAATGAAATAGCAAAGGTATACGAAAAAACTTTTGGTAGGTGACTTTTGCGACATCCTGTATTCAGTTGATATCTGAAAGCAGAACAAGATTGTTTTGTTATTAAGAATCATTGTTGTTTGATTTATGCTAATTCTCGCATGGTACATATATCGAAATATTAAATTATTTGCTGGATCCTAATGGAGAAGTGCAGAAATAATTCCTCAACTGTAATACAGACTATTAGAAACAGCAATTTTTTATACAATCTTAATGTTAAGGCGAGAATGATAGTCTAAACTCTTATAGCTATTGCTAATCTCAAACATATTCATAAGCTCCCAATATCTATCGAGATTCACGTAAGTTTATGTGTATCCGTTTCATATGTGCTTATAGTCTGATATCTATGTTTGTGTTTCTAATGTGTCTTGCAATTGTTTAACTACAATCTAAAACGAGCTATGTCCAACTTTTTTAAATTAATAAGATCTTCACCTAGGCAAAGTAACACTAAATAAATCATATTAAGAGTAGAAATTCTTTTATCAAATAATCGTTTTGTTATATGAGAAAAGTCTGTAATTTGAATCATCAACAGTTTAAAATAATCGGCATAGAGAAAGGTACAATAAACTTTTAAGTATAGTAATTCATGAAATAGATGCACAAAAAAGATGTTTAATGAACAAATATTATGTTTTCTCAATGAAAATGTTTCAGATCATGACCTTATTGATAATGCCCTTCTCTATTTTTCTTAGAAGAAAGACGATATGGAAACTAATGACTTCAATAAAAATGATAAAATAACGAACATCAATTACAAATTAAATGATAAATAAGTTAACGGATGAAAGAATTCAGATTGAGCGATTTTCTGATTAGTGAACATCTGTCAATAACAGACATGTAAAGGAAAAACAAACAGCTTAGTACGAAACCTTTTGATTACAATACTATTGAAAGATTTCTTACGAAATCTTTTCGGCTGGAATAATCGAAAGAGGTTTTATCCGAAACCTTTTTGGTTACGAAACCATAAAAAGGTTTCGTTTGACACCATGTTTTTTTCAGTGTAGAATAATCAGTGTTTTTTTTCTCATTAATTATTTAAGTCGCTTTTTTTCTGAATTAAGAATTCATATTTTAATAGTTATTTCATCTCATTTCAATATTTATTTATTACTTAATTGATTTAATCATTAACTCAATATCATTAGAAAAGTCAAATCTTTTTTTTTCTTCCTTCATCTATTCAATATGTCCTATATGAACAGCCCTATACATATACATGTATGTATGTGCGTTGCAAAACACAGAAAGAGAGAGAAAGAGAAAAGAATTTACATGGTTCTTGCTGGAAACTTTTTTGAAAAATTTTCGTTGAGGACTAGAGAGTATTTTTTGTAAAAATTTCACTATCTACTCAGCTTTTTACACTCTTTCCAATGATGTAATTTTTATCAACTCTGAGCAAGATAAAAAAATTTCAAATCAGTTGATATGTTTATGGTTATAGATACAGTTGTTGCTCTTATGAACAGCTCTATGTTGTCGAACAATGCAGTCTGACACATGCAATACCACGCGCTCTCTCTCTTGAATTACAATTTTCGATTGATTTTGGTCATAACAGTTTCATTTCCCTCATTGTTACTCTTCCATAATCATTATCAAGGTGTCTAATTCTGAACAACAAAATCAAGAACAGATTCAAACATCAAACGACGAGAGCCAATTGATAGAGCCGGTTGAACAAACTAAACCAACCTCATCGAAACTTATAAATAAGATACATAAAAAACGTAAACCTTATTATCAATGATCAATCAGTAACAAAAAAAGAAACAACAACAACAACAATAATAATAATAATAATAATAATAATAATTTTTACCAACGCTTACCACCATTATATCAGTTGCAACCATTTGGATCGTCGTTTAACTCGTCGAATTGACAGGGAAAAACGTGCGAACTTCTTTTTCTTATATTCAAGCTAAGATATTTATATTACATACAAAATAGTTCGATATAAAATAACTACCTCTTTGTATTAAATTAATCTGAATATATAATGCATAACTTAAAAAAATTCGGAAGATTTAAGAAAAAAGAGAAAAAAGTGATTGTACAAATCCTATTCTTCTTACAAAAACTAATCATGGTTCTTAAAAAATTTTATCTTTCGCTTATTTTTCTTTTCCTACAGATTCTCAATCATTGATGGCACCTCCTCCTCCATATCAATTCGGTCATTGTTGCATTTCGATCTCATTCTTGTGCTGGAAAATTTTAAAAGTAAATAAAAAAAGAGAAGAAGAAAATAAAAAGTTTTATTCAAACTTTTCTAAAAGAAATACTTCTACATCCATTTTCTGTCTTTTTCTAGATAACTATTATCTTTCAAATATTATTTATACCTATATTTTTTCTTTTTGTTCATATTTTTCTTTTTGCATCTCAAAAAAGATCATGAAAACCTATGATCTTCGCCCTAATCGACCTAAAACACGAGATGGAACATTTCTCGAATTACATCTTCATCAACATCCTGATAATACAGATGAAATGCTGTAGAACACACGACCAGCGAAAACTCGTTGACTGAAAGGAATCGTTGCTCATCTTCAGCAGGCTATCGTTCGACCGATTGCCGATCGTGCTAAAGGAGAGAAAAAAAGTCGGAAAATTTTTCCTTTCCAAAAAAAGCTGCCGTACTAGCACTTGACAATATTGACATTAACAGGAAATGGGTGACTGCTCCAGTCTTAGTCAAACTACTTCATTTAGATACATGTATCATTAAAGGAGATTATATCAACAAAAAAAACAGTAGACTTGAATTTAGACAAGTCGAAAAAATCTCTCATTATTTCGATAAAAATAATGAACCTCATAAAACAGAAGCGGCACATTTTCTTTCCTTTCGACTTTTGAAAGAAGCACATAAACCACTTGTTCTAAATTAACACGTCTATTACATCAATTGATGCCTGTATCTATTGTACATATGTGAAGTAGAACATAGACAAAAAACTTTTCTTGACATATCTTCCTTTTGGTCGAATGTCAGAAAAGTAAAAAAACAAATTCTTTTTTTCTTATGTATATACATCTATTATTTTTTCTAATCTCTTCCACTCTTTCTTTCCTTTCTTTCACTTCTTCCGTTTGATATTAATAAAACAAATATATCTCAATTACAACAAAATATTGATAAAAAAAAACTTTATGTTATGAAAACAAATTTCATTATTCAAAAAAAAAATTCTTTTGTTCTTGTTTTATTCGCTATGCATGTGCATGTTTAGGCCTTTTTGTTTTCTTTTTTTTTTATTATTTGTCAGGATTAAGTATAATATTTGCTCAGGATGGGTGCAAATTGAAAAACTGACCCTGACCCTTTTGTATTATTGTCATTAGATGCAGCTCGATTTAATTTAGATTGAATTAAATGTCTATTTTGGATTGAGTTTGTTTTTGATGTTCAATGATACTTAAAAGGAGAGATACATTCGACGAAATTTGCTCATCCAGTAGAACAATTGTTTAATAAGAAAAAAAAATTGTAATCATCATTTTTTTTGTGTTCATCTATTTTACGAATAAAGCTTCAGCATTTATTATTAAAATTTTGTTAAAATACAAAAAGATTGATTAAAAAGATTTTATTATATTATCCAATATCTTTCTTGGCAGGAAAACTTATGAGTAATTTAGAATTCTTACTTTTGTTTATTTGAGATAATCAGATATCAATGTGAGATAAGAAATGTTTTCTTTGCTTCATCTTTGCAAATTGTCATACGATCATTAAACTGAATAACGAAGAAATGCTTTTGAAAACAAATAAGTAGCCAAGTCATTTATTGAAACAAAAGAAATTTTATAAATATATTTGATAGCTTACAAGCAATGTCAACTATTCTCATTAGACGATAAAGGTTTAAATTTTTCTATCTTTAATTTAAATCTCATCTCTTTTATTTCTATTATAGTTGATTTATCCTGTTTTAGTTTTATGATAATGATCTTGATGGATAACTAATAATTCTACACACTTATATATCACTAGGGAAGGTAAACATAGAATGAAAGATAATATTGAATAAAATCGATATTTTTTATTTTTATTTTTCATGTTTAGATTAATCATATCAAGATGATATGTTCATATTTCAATACGTCTTTTTTACCGAATGATCAATACACAACATCTATTCTCGTACAAATATTATTTTTCCACTCTTTTTTTCTGAGATAGATTATATTTTAATTTCTTTTTTTTTTGTGCATTGTACATAAAACTTAATGAATTGAAATACCAAATAAACTGAGATGATTCAAAAATTGAATAGAAATAAATAAATTTATATGCAATAAGAGAGAAAGATGGAGAGATTCATTGAATGACAACTATGTATAAGAAATAAAAGAAACTTCCAAAGAAAGAAAATACTGATTTTATGAATAATTAATTTACACTCAATTTGTATTAGTCTTTATTTAAAATTTAATTGGAGAGGGTAAGAGAAAGTTAAATTTCTTTTAGAAAAAAAAGTTGATCAACAATATGCATGAAGACACATTGTTAAAGATGTTCGAAATATTTTGTTTTTTTATTTGATTTTAAATTATCAACGATATATTCTCTTTATAATTACTAATTTATCTTATGATTTAGTCGACTGACTCAAAGAATTTGTATTAATTAATGAATTGCTTTTTTTTTGGCATGATCGTATTATTCCACCATCATCATTACTATTATATGATGATAAATAGTTTCTTTTTTATATTGTGTGTGTTATATTTAAGGGTCCCCCACCCCTCAAAAAAAAGGAATTTTCGACAAAAATATCGATTTTTAGATTTATACATAGTTAGATAGCCCATTATCTCTACTTTCGAATGCACTATAATTTATTGGTTTTTCGATGGGTTTTGAGGGTTTTACAACGGTTTTTCTGAAGACCCCTGCATCAAAAAATTTTTTTTTCGAAAACTTCAGTTATTGAAATCAATAGAGAGTGAAGAAGGTGAAGCTGAAGAGGATGATGCTTGCGAGCCAGGTGGTGATGACTGAGCATGAACCCGCGAATTTCGTTGTATGTTTTTTTACACAATAAACACAAGAATAAGTCATTAATTTTCTTTTGCCCACTCGGCAACAGAAAATTGAATGTTTTGTTTCGTAATATCTGATTCAAAACACTAGTTTCATTATACATATTAAATTCAAGTAATTTTATAGATTTTTTCAAAAACCAGTGGTTTTTGATGGTTTTTCGTGAGACCAACGCTTACACGTAAAAAAAACTACGTCACACATATCTCTCCATGTGCTCATACGATTCGCCATAGTCGATAACCTATAATAAACTGCCTTCTTGTTTATTCACTACCATTTTTAAACGAAAAAATCGCGATAATCAAAGAAAAAATTGTTTTGTGTTTTTCTCGAAACTGTTTTTTTTCGTTTTCTTTGACTGTGTGTCAAAGATTTCTCCGCCATTTTAAATGGTAGAATGCTCGGGAAGGTTTTAAAATGAAGGTAAATATCAGTGCTACAACCTAACAAAGCCAGAATTTTTGTTTTCAGTTTATTTGTTTACAAAAAACTCGAGTTTTCTAAAAAATTGATCTAGGTTTTTCGAAAAAACTGTCTAAAAAAATTAATTTTTTTTTTTTCAAAAATCCGGCTTTGTTAGGTTGTAGGGGCAGGTCTTCTCTACATTTTGACACCATCCCGAGGTCCGTATCACTAAAATTGAAAACAAAATCTTTGACACACAGACACCTACTTTTGACCCTTGATGTTACAATAACTCGCAAAAAACTCAATATTATGAGCTCACATTTTTACTGAGAACTATCACTGATCAGATACATATTCAATAAAAATTTCAGTAAGATTGAGTGTTCTGGGGAAAAAAAAAATTTAGAGGGGTGGGGGGCCCTTAAGTGATCGAATATATGTACACATGCGCATGTGAGAAAAAAATAGAGAGAGAAAGAGAAAATCTAGCTAACGTGCGGGGGAGAATGATCGATCAATGTAATTTCTGCTGGAAAATCTTTTTTTAAATAATTTTGCTGGAGATTTGGGCATATCCCTCCGAGAAAATGTTTGCCTCATACTCAGTTTTTCACGCTCTTTCTAATGATGTAATTTTTATTATGTCTGCATGAGATAAAAATTTTCGAAGGAGTTGACATGCTATATTCCTACTAAGAATGATTTTATATAAAATTAATAAATAATTAATAATTAATTTATTATATTTTGATTAAAATCTTTAATTATCAGGATATTCTTTAATTGGCATAAGTTCGACTAAATTGAAAAATGACATTTTTTTAAACAAAAAAAAAATGTCAATAAACAGAAAATACGTAGGCCGTTCAAAAAGTATCCGGACTGGTTTTATTAAATAACTATAACAAGCGTTATTGCTCTTAGCTTTTAGTCTATGTGTAGTTAGAAGAGTACTCTATCTATCGGTATGACAAATATTAACCAATGAAATACCTATGCGTGAATATAACGATTTTTATTAGATCACCCTTTTTACACTGATGGGAAATCAGGTATACCGGAAATCAAAAACTTGAGTATCGCTCAGTAATAAAGTTTCTTGTTTTAGAAGGACAATCTTCCTCCAATATTTATAAACGGGTACATTTGCAGAACAAGCACACTCTGGCCCACACTCTCCCTGTGCTTGATGTGTGCAATAGGCTGATTGGATGTAATGGTGTGCTTATTCTGCACATGAACCAAACCAGTCCCGATACTTTTTGAACGCCCTACGTACATACTTGCATTAATACCAAGTTTTTTGAAATAATCAATTTTTTATGTAACATGTTTAAATTGACTACGAGCAAGTGGATCATTATCTCCACCAGAAAAATCGCTTATATGTACTTCATAAATAACAAGTTCTTCATGAGATGGTAAATAACAATGATCATATTTCAATTCATATTCATCGAAAAATAAACTATCATTTATTTCAATTTTAAAATATTTCAATTTTTGAAATTCATTTAAAAGAAAGATTTATTTATACCGATAATTCGTTTGCCATTTTTAATTATTAATACACCAACAGCTTTATGTGCAACATCTAAAATAGTCAAATTAATATACTTTTTATCTATGAAAAATCGTTAAAAGGAAGAAATCAACTGTATATAGTATTCGAAAAAAAAAACCATTCTTCTAGATTTGATAGAATTGATCAAGCACTCAACTAGAGTCCAAACAGTCGTTTTATGATCATATTTGAACCAAAAATATAGCAAACTGAAAACAAAAACTCACTTCAAATCTTTTTCATTTGTTGAAGCAAATGTAAGAATCAATCCTTCTTATGCAATTAACCAAATCTATATTATATTGTACAAGCTTTTTTCAGTTCTTCTTCGGGAACTTTCATATGATTGGTCACAGAACGGGAAAAAGTTATACATACATATGTGCATATGAACATATGTGTATATTGTCCTATATTATTATCTGTGTATTCAATATTTGTGAACGTCATTTCTGTCCATCCATTTTTATTATCTTTACATATCTGAGTCGTTTCACTCATATTTTATTTTATTTTATTTTTCTTATTCTACACATATAGTGACAACACATGTATATTATATTTTACAAGTTTTCTTTGGAAACTTTTTTCTTATGTAGTGGGATGTCGTATCGAAATATTAATTTTTGAAAAGTTTGACCGAAGGGTAATCGAGGACCAAGAATCTCAATCTGAAGTCATTTACACTATTATTAATTAATTTAATAATCAATAAATCTATAATATATTTTACAAATTATATTCAGTTCTTCGAGAACTTTTTTCTTATGTGTATTAAATCAATTTTTCCTGTAAATTCAAATCCAATCTTTTCACAAGAGCCTCTAGTTCATATGATTATAAAAAGATTTACAAAATGTCGAAATCGTACTCGGACAATTATTTTTTTGTTGAAAAATTCCTATTTTCTATGATCGATTCGTATATCTATTTTTTCTTTTGTTATTTCAATAAATAAAAATTTTACCTGAGCCACGTTCATCAACATCAGTAGCATAAGGATCAACAAATCTATACCAAATTTCTGTAAAAGTAGCTTCTTGTTCACATCGTTTCTTACGTTCACGAGTTTCATCACTTAGTTTGACATATGCTTCCGTTTTTTCTTCTTTTTCCTCTTGAACTAAAAAAAAGAAATCATTTCATGAAATTAATCTTTAGATATATTTTTCAATAAAAGTGAAAACAAAACTTATCTAAACAACTTACTCATTTCTTTATATATATCATCATCATCATCATCATCATCATCATGTAATGCAGGTTCTGGTTCTTGTTCAAACCAAGATTTTATTTGAACTAAATATATAAGGAAAAGTCTATATTACCTTTTTTTCATATATATTAAAAATTGTTCTACTTTTAAATTGGTAATGAAAAATGCCATCAGCTAAATTTACAGTTGCTCGAAAATAACCATCTGATTCATCTTTTTCCATAACTGAATTTTTTTTTGTTTTTTATCAATATTCAAATTAATATTCTATTTAATAATCTTACGAATATTTACACCAAGCATAAAAACATTTGCATTTCACTTTATCAATATGATTTATGAACTTATGATATCGTCAGATAGAGACGTGTTTTTCAAGATTCAATTGATCCATTTGATGAAGATATTGAAATATAAAAAAGTCTTTTAAAATCTTATTCATCAACTATGAAACATTTTCAATTATATAGTATGAATAATTATGTTAATACTTCTAATCATGAAAATTTAATAAAGAAATATGAAACATCAAGATTATCATTTAATGAATGACTATTTCAATGACAATCTAATAGATACAAAAAAATTTTTTTTATTTTGATGAAGATGATTCTTTTTCTGTCTTTATCTGTTTCATTTCTTGTTGGTGAGACTTTTGTTTCAAACCAAGTTCGATCATTTTATATTCATGATCAAAATCCATTTGTTTTTGTTGCAAATCCATTTGTTTTTCTTTCAAATATAATTCTTTATTTTCTCGTCTATATTCTAATATAAATCGTCCGATAAATATACCAACATATGAGAATATAACGATAATTAAACCAGCATTAAATCCCCCTATGACGAAAGCAATAAAACATTGACTGGTTTATTGAACTTATAAAATAAATAAATAAACCTTCAACTTACAATGAGCTCGAAAATCATCACGTAAATTATGATATAATTCCCGACTATTACTAATAATTGTTTTAATAAATCCATCTGTATGTAATTTAACATTATGATCATATTTTATTCGATCATCTCCTGCATGATCAGTAGTGAATGTACGTTTTTGTTTAGACCAAAACAACTAAAGAAAAAAAAATTAAATCATTATATATAATATAATATAATCTAGTTTTACCTGATAGTTTGAACATAATAAATTATTTTTAATAATTCTTTCCGAACCATATTTTAACCGACATAAT